AATATCTTATTTTTTTAAAAGTGTTGCCGCCTTTTATTTTTGGGAAGAGCATCAGATTTACACCGTTCTGTCGCGTTTCCAAATGAGATGTCAGATGAAAAATATAGACTCAAGGCCCCGCCAGATAGAAATTCTTTTCTGCGTCACAGGGATACTTTTGACTGACATCGAAGTTAACTCTGGGATTTTGAATAGAAGACGCCACTTTGCCAACGCATGCATTGCCGCAACTGATAAAAATCGCCCAACTCTCAACTTTAGATGCGCGTCAATGCGGCAAAACAACAATGTATGGAATGAATTCAGAGCAACTGACTTTTGGCCAATCAAAATGAGCCGTTTTGTTTGCGGCAACGTTTTCATTGTGGCGCCCCGCAATGTTATGTGCGTCTTGTCAGTCAAAAGCATCCCTGTGAGGCAGAAAAGAATTTCAATTTGGCGGGGCCTTTACAGACCTGTTTTGGTTTTTTAAAGGGTTTGCCGCCTAATTAAAAATGCATTGTTTAAATATGATAGTCAGTAAAATATCACAATATGGGCATCAAGCGAAACGGGTTTGAGACTAAATTAATATGTTGGTGTTTTTAATAGAGTTACCACTTATTAAGCAAATTTATAACTATGAAGGGTAAGTAATGTATTAAGGACATTCGATATTGTTATCAAACGAAAGCTGGTTAAGAGGGCTTTTGTGTAATTATATGCGAATTTTTGATGGTTGCCATATAGTTTATAATATTCTAGTTAATTAAAATGTTACAAAGTGGGCTTCAAACGAAAAGAGAGGGGCAACATCTTTCTGCAAGGCCCCTATCCTCTTTTCAAAAATATATAACATTTACTGTGCAAAAAATATTCAAGCTGGAGGATCATAACAATTTATCAGCAGAGTTCTTCATTTGGAATTTCAAATATATATATCTTTGTATATATGCAAAACATTTGCTTTGAGGAGGCATAAATCCTCAACCCCTTATAAGTGTAAAACTCACGGCGAATAGAGCAAAAGATTTAAAAGCAAACTTCACAAACGTTCTTCTATATTCTTTGTTTACCCATTGCCACAAATGTCATTCTGCGTTCTTGTTCTATCGTTCTTGTTGTGAAATGAAGAAACAAAATATTTAATAAATAAAATATAACTGTTTTTCCAAGGAAAGCAGTAAAAAAAATTAATAATAACTAAACAATTTAAATTGATTTGAAGTGTACTTAAGGTGTATGTTCGTATTGATTTGTCTAATACATAGGGCCGGTTTTACAATGCATTTTTTAATTAAAATTAAGTCTAATTTAAGGCTTTGCGTTTCACCAACAATTTTTTGAGCAAATCTTAAGTTCAACTTAAGTTAAACTTAAGTCGCGGCCATCGGCGACTAAATGTAAACTAAGTCGCAATACAGCTGATTTAGCAAACAGATGTTTATGATCAATTTTAATTGAGAAGCAAAACAATGGGTCATATGCATAAAACTAATGAATACTATTTTCAATAGCAATCACTTTAAAGCTTCAAAATCGGTATGCATAAAAGCAATGCGCTGTATAGAAACCACTACTTGAGTTTTCTACTTCAATTTCGAAAAAGTATATGCTTGGAATAGAAATGCATAAAAATTGTAATCACTTAAAAAAATAAGTGTTTGCTATTTAAGTCGCCAATATTTTCGACTTAAGTTGAACTTAAGTTGCACTTTAGTTTTTGATGAAAAAGTGGTCGATGAAACGCAAAATCTTAAGTTCAACTTAAAAATGCATTGTAATACTGGCCCTAAATATCTCAAAAACTAGAAGGCTCCCGCACTTTTAATCCCCGAATCGGGGGTCTAAATTTCAAAGTCCACCTTTTTGCGTATACGTTGCTAGCCGCGTTTCAGTGATCGCAGATAAAGATTTCATTTATTATTTTACATTATTTTGATAAAAAAAAGTCCCTCTAATCCCACATCGATGTGATGCTGATAGAAATCTGGATCAATTTGGGATCAACTCTGTTTGTTTTGTTTCATAATTACTTAAGACAATTTTTATTTGATAGCACTGACAAATTATTATATTACCAAAAAAAAATAAATTTCGGTTATGGTTAACTCCGAGCTGGGGGAACTCCGGGTAATGGTTTTCAAACTTGGGTGTGCTTAATTAAATATCTGTGCAGATACGCTGGCAGGCATTGGGGTTTGAATAACTATACACTTAAAGCTTAAACAGACGGCAGCGTTGATCCGGATTAACTCAGACTTGATCAGGATCAACGCTGCCGTCTGTTTATGCTTTCACTATACTATACTGGGACTTAATCCGGATCAACTGCAGTTAATTCCCGAGTTGATCCGGATCAACGCTGCCGTCAGTTAAGCTCTAATAAACCTTTTTGAGTACTCCTCGGGGGTAAAATCTGATCAGGGTTGAAAATGAGAAGGGGCATGCATTTTGTTGATTCATAGTTGTATACAAAATTACTGTGGTATGAAAGGGAGCAACAACCGTACTATGGCAGAGTGGCACAAGTCATGACTGTAATAGTGCTTACGCGTAAAATCATATTTAGCGCATTTAGCTCTAAATACTACTCTAAATGTATATTTATCCATACAAAATTCGTCACCTAAATGCAACTAAGTGCAACTCCATTTTTGCATTAAGAATCTAAATGCTAAAAGCAACCCTGTGATCTTCCAAAATTTCCACGATTCGAACATGGTTTAATGAGAAAAAGTGGCGACATTGCTTTTTCGAGTATACAGTGGCTAGCTGCGTTTCAGTGATCGCCGATCGAGATTTCATTTATTATTTTACATTATTTGGATAAAGAAAAGTTAAGCAAATTCAACATCGATGTGTTAATTTGTGAACAACTCTAATTAAGTGAGGAAATTTTAATGGACAGCACCGACAAATGAATATATACATAAACAAATATTCGTTTATGGTTAAAACAATTCAAGGTTTTGTATTGAATTTTTGGTTTAAAAATTTTGTTTTCTTTTCAGTAGTTTTTTTTGCACATTATCTTCTGCTTGAAAATTGATCGTAACAGATACGGATCTGAATAAGCGACTGGAACACGGCTGTTTGTCAAAAGCATACGATTTCGAACTCGGGTAAATGTTAATTTGCTAAATGCGATAGCATGAACGCTCTTCGAAATTTTGCTGATACGCGGTTTTGCATTTTGTTGATACGCGGTTTTGCACTTTAAACGACGATATGTATACATACATACGTGCATTCAAACATACATATATACATATATAGGTACTCGTACCCGTCATGCGTCGCTTTATTTCTTTTTTCCCCTTCCCTATACTACCTATATCTTCTTCCTTCTCACTCATGTAACGTTTTCAGTTTTAAAAATTTCACTCTCCATTTTTGCGATACCGCCGCTTAAGAAATTTCACTTCAAAAATATGTTCGAAAGTGCTTAATGTTACATTTTAAATGCAGCAAAAACGCCGCATTATACTTGCTTCAACAACCTCATTCGATGCGCATGGTACAAATTTGTCGCCCGGTTATCAAGGTCGGTGTTAAGGCCCGTCCACATACAACTTTGGCGTTGCGTACGCTTAGCAGAGAATACTTTGGTCACTAAATTAACATACTAGCGGCAGATAAATCCAAATTTTACATCAATAATTGCATTAAAAACTATATTTCTTGTCCGCATTTGATTTAAAAAGAAAATTAAATCACATAATTTTGATTATTTAGAACAGCTGACGAACGACGCGTGCGAAAAGTTGAGAATTGGCCATCTTTCTGCGTTGTGTTGGCGTTGGCGGTACCCAACTTTGGTTATATGGAGACTTTCATATAAATGCATGTATTCATAGTCAGCTGTCGAAGGGACGCCAACGCCAACGCAACGCCAAAGTTGTATGTAAACGGGCCTTTATGCAGACAAACTTTTGTTTGCCAAATTAAATGGCGGCTGCTTAATTTGCTCGGAGGTGGTTATGTCGAGTTTGGCACAGGGTTCCACGTTCAGTATGGTTTTCATGGCTATTGCCAACACGAAATGAGAATTTCAGATGTACATAACGCCCACAATTAATATATTTTTTATGATATCGTATAGGCAATTAACCGTGCCCTAATCTTTGAAGCTCCTACAGCATAAATTCAGTTCTCTGGCTTTCGGTATCACGACAATTTTTGTGTATATGACACCACCGAATCTGCTGCAGTTTCCCTGCAAAAATCGTTGGACCATGTAGTCTCTTTGTGGTAATTTGAAGTACTTACAAAAGTGTGCCTCTGTCATGCTGTAGCGGACCAACTCGTGTCTCTGCGCCAGCTTATTGTTTGTTATCCGATAACTGCTCGTGCTTTAACGAAATGTGATTGAAGTTGAGCATTTGAAAGCACATTTGCATGTCTGGCTGTAGCTGAACGTGTAGAGATGCTCGCTGTTAGTTCTTAGCTCCCAGCATGTTCGGGTACGAATGCCGTCAGAGGCAACATGTAATTTTTAATTTTTGTCTTGGTTTTTATTAATTTCGAAAAAGCATTTGAGAAGTGAAGAACAAATGCGTGTACAAATGAAAAAATATAACAACAATGCCATTGTTAATATGTTGGAGTAGTTTTGTGCTACTCTGATGTAATGCAGGGATGGAGTATATGGTCCTGCCCTAGGACATCGCAATGTTAATTGGACCATATTTTTTATATGAATTGTGGTTAATTTTAGGTACTCTTTGGTCCTTAGGGAGTACTCTTTACACGCATGCATGGAGTATTCGCGATTTTTGCAGGGTATATGCCAAAGCAAAGAACTATCAAGCAAAGCGAAGAAAGTTATATGTGAATCAGCCTTTATAGCGTGTACGACCGGTTTTGAGCGATAAAAGATTTTGACGCCGCTTGAGAACAGAGCATAATCATTCACAATTACAGCAAAAAACTTTATTGGCAAATAAAAATAAATAGAAGATAGTAACAAAAAGTGCAACACTGCACTCGTTCTCTTTGTTCTTTTCAACTTCTTCGCAGACGAGAATTTGTGTTGAGCGTACATTTCGGTGATTTAGTGAATTTCGCAGTTAAAATTTTTGCTAAATCTGTAAATTTTTGGGAAGAGGTATCGTCAATTACTGTGTTTTGCAAAAGATAAACAAGGCCTTTGGTCTATATTTGTTAGCGTGGAGGTGGTATCGCTGGATATCTGTGTGGCAAAAGCAAATTTTAATATATAGTTTGCGAGACGCATAAGTGCATGGGAGGATAAGTGGTGATTGGGAAGTAGTGAAAGGAGCGAAGGAGTTAATTATGCATATATATTTTTAGTAACAGGGAAAAAACGTGCTGGGGATCGAATTTTCAATAGTTATAGCCATGTGGGGGTTCTTAGAATATTGTATTTTCGTCATGTTTAGCGCTTGCATTCTCTATACAGTGCATTAACATTTTTCTGGATTAGTTTTGTAGTTTATAAAAAGATGCTTGCGCATATAAATGTACTAAATTCATTGGATCGTGTACATACATACATGCATAAATACATATACATTTAATGAGATGGTTCTTGATTGCATTTCTTTGTAGATTCTTTACGTTTTCAAGATTCTCTGGGGCGTTAAGCTCGATCATCGCCAGTGCTTACTTTGACATTGACCTTGCGGGTGTCTCCAAGATAAGGACATCAACCGGCCGCATTGACAGAGTAGAAATTGATGGACAAAATCTTTAGCTCTTAATAGCAAAAGTAAAGAACTTGGTGCCGTGGAGCTAAGTGAAAAGGATTGCTGGCTTATTGTTGTGTTGTGGACGCCAGCCGCCCGATGTCTTCAAGTTCACCAACAGCTGAGCAAAACTCGCCTGCAGAGCCACCAGCAGCCAAAAAGCGCAAGCTGCTCGCGCCTACCGGTGGCGCTCCCAACGCAAACACCCCCACCACGAGCCCCACTAATAGAAATACTCAGGGCAATAACAACACTGACAACGGCGACGATAACCGCATTTACGAAAGTGGTGTGGAAGGAATCGAAGTTGACGTACCGAAGAAACCAACCGTGCCATCCCATTCGGTTTCGTTAAGTGACGCTATAGCTGGCTCTGTCGGCAGTACTTGTGCTGGTGGGAAAAGTAGCACCGATAGCGATAGCACCAGTTCATCGTCGGTAGTGAAGAAAGGAAGCGGTCAAAGCGGAGTTTTTGTTTCTGATTCGGGTGAATGCGCTGTGACGGATGTAAGATCTGAGGAATCAAATAATTCATTGGAGTTAAAAGAAAAAATTTCGAAGGGAAATATTTTGGCAACAACTTCAGCGTCCGTTAGCGCCGTAAACGCCAACGTTAATAACTCGAACTCAAACGGGACTAAATCTAATATCGGAGTAGTGTACGGAAGAAATAACCAAATGGCTGGTGGTAATCCGACAGGCGACCCTCGTTCGCGCGGTGCTTCTGACATCGACGAGTCTTTATACTCGCGCCAATTGTATGTACTTGGCCATGATGCAATGCGTCGAATGGCAAATTCTGACATATTATTGTCAGGTATTGGCGGTCTCGGACTGGAGATAGCTAAGAATGTAATTTTGGGAGGTGTGAAATCGATCACGCTGCATGACAAGGCAAATTGCACCGTAAGTACAAAAACCAAACAGTATTTTTGCCTTATATGTGCCTATATACATGAATATACATATTAACATTTAAATGTGATTTATCAAAACCTGTTTTTGAAATATAAATCCGTAACGATGATATGCACATACTTTTGCATTGCAATCACGATGCAATTATGTATAATCTTAAGATGACCGGAGGAAAAATCAATAATTGTTCTTCCTCTTTCTGCCTTGGTCTACTTTAGAAAAATTTTGTTCGGGTGTATCGTTTGTATTTATTTTACCGCCGTTTTACGACGTTTTACTTCCAGCGTAATAAAAGCGAGTCAACTTATGGAAATCAAACTTGTGAAGTTGAACATTTATTATAATTTGCACTGTCATGTCCAGTTCTAGGTTGATATTCTTTCATATACTATAAAAGTTTGAAAACAATTGCATAGTGAAATCGAAGGAGACTGACTCGTTTTCTTTATATCAAAACTTAAAATTGTCGAGGGAAAATCCATAGATGTACATACATATGTGTGTGTGTAAGTATGGATTTTAAGTTCAAGATAATATGTATGTATTATAGAATTCTTTGAAATAGTAGTGCTTAAATAAAAGTTGTCAATCAAGCCTTTAGTTAATACTTTGTTAGGAATCTTAGAAAATTAGTTTTTGGTCGTTTAGCTTTTAATTAATATTAGCAAACCAGCGAAAAATATTTCATAAAAGAATAAGAAGTGGTTGAAAAGCAAGTTGATGATTCATTGTCACTAAGTTTTGCCAATGCGCAAGGCGTAAGAGTGAAATAGCTATGTAGCTTATCGGGGTCAACCGCCCTTCGATAATGCGCAAGAGAAGTGCGGATACGCGATTTCAACATACACTTGCACATATGCAGCATGCATATGTATCAGGGTAGCCAGCTCGTTTTTGAGAATTCCCGATTTCGAAAATAAAATTCCGCGATTTTAATTTAATTTAATTTATTTATTCATGCTTTGCCCGAAATTCCGTAAAACTCCCCACCCAGGAATATCTTATACAAAAAAATGTATGTATTGTATTTTGATGTATTGCTGGTAATTCTTTTTATTTTATTTTTAAATACATATGTAAAAATCATCTATGTATTCATAAACCAAAACAAACTTTTATTAAGTTTGTTAACAAAGATTAAAAAACGTACATATCGCACGTTTAATAATATAGGGATGTAACTAAAAATTTACGTTTTTTAGATTTCATTACGCAATTAATAAAATTGATAAGTAGAAAATGTCCAGGCTAACAGATAACCAAACTTGCCAAACATGGCAAAGATATGTCTTTCCATCTGATTGAGTTTTCGCACAAAATTGAAATTTTGAAATACTTCGTGATGTTATTAAACATGCGATATAACATTAACATACATACAGCGGTCGAAAAAAATTTAGTCGCACCAAATTTTGACCCGTTTTCACAAGTTTTTTTTTTTGTTATTTAATTTGAGTTATTTTTAAGAACATAGTTCATTCTTTAACAATCACCGTTTAAATCCAAGTTTCAAACTTTGTGCAATTTCAACAAACTTTCGTACAATTTCGAGCTTTTTAATTAGATTTTGTACAAAAATTTTGAGTATGTAATTTTGTAGCCCACTCAATTCAAGTACCTAAAAATTTTTGTTTTAGAATTTTTTTTGCGAAGGTCTTGCGGTTTTCTTCCATATAAAATAAATTGTGTTTATGCGTTATATGAAAGCATATCCTACAAAGACAATTCTAAAAAATTAACGGTAATTTTTAGCTAAACTATATTAACAGGGCGATTCTGTACACTTTATAAATTGAAAATCTTTATAGTTTGTCAATTTTTTATTATTTATCAAGAATTGGTATTCCATAACAGAAATCAAAAGCTCTTTTCTTGATAAATTATCAAGATTGAAAATGCTATTAACAAATTGAAATTTCGTGCGAAATGTATACATTTTTTATAAATAAATTTGTTTCTAACAAAACAATTAAATACTCCATGTGCCGGCATTTGAACCTGCTACACACGGAGTTATATTCGACATCTCTACCTACTCGGCTACAGCAGTCAAAAATTTTTTTGCTTTTAAATTCATATTCTTCATATGTGACAATGAAATCAGTTCCACTCATGTGAAAATCAGTTCCACTAATGTGGAAATCGTAGAGCTTTTTGTTTTATAAATATTGACACAGAATTCGAAGGAAGCTTTTACTTGATAAAAATCTTGATAAAATTTCTTTACAAAAAATTTATCAAGAAAACACAGAATTGGGCGGTAAAGTAGAATTGAAAACATGCTACAAAACTGCATACGGCTCATTCCGTGGTGACAGGTGAGACATTTCAACTTACATATTTTTAATCATTATGAAATGAGTAATGCAAAAACGAAAATTTTTTTACACCAGATTCCTCACAAAAAACAGATCATCCCCCACTAACCATATGACTAGGTAAAAACATAACAAGGTAAAACTATTGAGAGGTAGTTTGACGTTTGCCAGCAATAAAATTTAAAAATTCAAACTCAAACTCATACACAATTTCCAATTTTCAATCTGAAACAACAACAATTGCGAACAATTTCAGTTTTTTATCTCAATTTTGTATGATCTTAAGATGCTGGCAAACGTCATGGTACAATAATTACAGGCATGATAAAAAAATAGGAAGGTAGAACCGCTGAGAGGAATTTTTCAAATTCTTGACGTTTGCAAGCAATTTAATTTTAAAATTTTATACACAAACTCACACACACATTCCCATTTTCAATCTCAAACAACAACAACTTTGAACAATTCTTTTTACTCTCAATTTTATGTGATTTTAAAATGTTGGCAAACTTCAAAAAAAAATCATGGCCGACGAATTGAGAGAACGGTTTTACCTTACTATGTTTTTATCATGGTTTTTATCATGACCTTGGTAATGTTTTTCATGATAAAAAAAAAGAAAGGTAGAACCGCTGAGAGGAATTTTTCAAATTCTTGACGTTTGCAAACAATTTAATTTTAAAATTTTACAAACAAACTCATACACACATTCTCATTTTCAATCTCAAACAACAACAACTTTGTACAATTCCTTTTTTTTTATTCTCAATTTTATATGATTTTAAAATGTTGGCAAACTTCAAAAAAAAAAAAAACCTTGCCGACGAATTGAGAGAGCGGTTTATCATGATAAAAACATAGTAAGGTAAAACCGTTCTCTCAATTCCTCGGCCATGATTTTTTTTGAAGTTTGCCAACATTTTAAAATCACATAAAATTGAGAGTATATTTCTGAGCGTTTTTGACATCTGCCTAAGAATGAGAACAAACAAAGAAAACGAAAAAGGCGCGTTGATTGAGTATTGATATTTATTATAAAATATACAAAGTGAAACTTGATGACAATTAAAAAAGAAAGTTCATAAAATATGGTTTCCATGATTGAAAGTATTTTACAATCGCATATCATTACCACGGATCGATTTTTCAATGCCAACGTTCTGGCCACAAACGTGCACCCACTTTTCACGCAAATTTACGCCTTTTGGCAAACCAAACATACGCACAAACTTGTTCCAATCACACAGCACTTCATTCTATATAACATAAATATGTAATAAACCAAAATTTATAATTAAAATCGTTGTAGAAAACACATTCAATCGCTAAAAAATCACTACGAAGAGGTAGAAGACGGTGTAAACAAAACCGAAAAACGTCAAAAACGCTACGAAAACTTTCTTTTGAAAATCGATTACAAATACAACGATGGCTGATTAGGTGATCTGTAGTCGTTGGTTCATGGGTTTTTATCATGATTCAATAATACAAGGTTGTTTAATTTGTGACAGCTAAAATTTGACACTCCTGTATCTAGATTTGTATTTTGGAAGTAGGAGAAAGGGGAAGAATGTGATCGCCTTTTGCGAAAACGGTAGTAGAAAGGTACTACAAAAAGTACGCAAAGTATACAATTAGAAGTAAAGGTGTATTATTAATTCTATGCGAACTTGCAATATATTTGGTGTTATAATGGAAATACTAAACAATACGTAAATATGTGCATTTTTGATTTAAGTTATTCATCATTTCCTGGAACCGACCGTTCATCTATGCAAAAACGAAAACTGCAGATCAATAAAACTTTTTATGCTCATTTCAACCATGCCAAAATTATTTGGTGCAAGTAAAAAAATTAAGACGTTCCAGAAGGTTAAAGTTCAGTTTTTAAATTTTTTAAATATTTATATCTTACGAACTGTAGGTATAACCGATAAAAAAAACTAATGACGCCACCATAAAGATAATTAATTTGTCTTTCAGCTGGTGTACATAATTTAAAGCTTCTTGTATTTTTAAACCAAAATCACAAAAAAACGAACAAATGTTATTTTTTCATGAAATAACATTTTTTGAAAAACTGCATAATTAATGGTAAAGAAATTAATATTATTTAGAAAGTACAAGTTATTACCTTTAATTCGATATTACATATTTTGTCACTATCTACTTTTGGGTTTCAACAATTTATAATAAAAAATACAAATAAATAAAGCAAATAAACCTCTTATATTTTCTTTATTTATTACCTGCGCGGAATAAATTTGGTATCGTTCAAATCAGCGTAAAAAGTTCTATCAATCGGTATTTTTGGTTATTTTATAGCTAAACGGTCGCTATTCTACACTTGTTCTAGAAAATTACGCAAACGAAGGTGATGCTCACGAATATTTACTATGAAGAATTTTTGGTTTTACTACTAATATCATTAGAAACTGTAGAGTAAGCAACATTCTGCACAAGTAAAGGAGCCGATTTTATGTGTGGAAGCGAGAATACTGTTTTATTACAAAACCTTACTATTATTGAATCATGGGTTTTTATCAAGGCATATTTAACAAGGTAAAAGTGACAACTAGCTCGAACTCTCTTGTAGCTAGTTATAATGTGAAAAAACTGTAAACAAACAAATTAACCCCATGAGTTGCGAGTGCTATGTTTGCTACAAATTAGCATCAACTGAAACTCATCACGGTGAAATTATACCACGTGTAGTAATAAGACCGAGATGAAGATTGGACGCTATCGTATTTGAAAATTTGCCTTTAAAAATTTTAATAAGATAGCCGAAAGATAATTAGACTCTGTCTTCGCGCTTTGTTTTATTGGACAATGACCTCACGGTTGACCAAAGCTTACTCGCACCAGAGGTGAAGTTACAAGTCTTCAGATGCTCTTCCCTCTTCTTCCGCTTATGTACGTTCACAAGCTGCCGAATCTTCGTGTTGAGATCCCTGATTCGGGGATTTCCGGGATCGATCTGACGAAGGTTATCACGGTCATCGGCTGGAACAGCCGCTTCAGCAGGAAAGTTCCTGCTGGTACGAAGCGAGCTGCAGCAGTAGTGATAACCCTGCGGAACTTATGTAGGTCCGGTGTTCCGCGGAAGCAAAGACGGTTGGTTTATCGATCGATATGACTATGGGCAGATTGTCTATTGCCAAAGTCAGCATAAGGTCGCCATGATATGCTGTTTATCAGACCAGCGCTGACTATTGTTTTGTCTGGCGAGCTGCAGCAGCTGCGCATAATCCTGGTGGGTGCGTCGTCGTTCATTGTGCAGAATGTAGAATCGTCTTATCTGCTCAGCCAAGTCAGTTTCCCTACGATCGTTTGACAGGCTTGAGTGCCAAAGAGCGTGGTGCGCATTAAAGTCACCTACTACCATACGGTTTTCACCTCTGAGGAGCGCACCTATATCAGGGTGATATCCTGCCGGGCAGCAAGTGACAGGGGGTATATAAACGTTAAATATTTCGACCTCGACAACGCCTGACCGGATAGCAATACCCTAAAATTCTAGAATGGTATCCCTGCGGTCGATGTCTGCTTCGATGAGACAATACTGCACGGTATGGTGTGTACATTGTATCCGGAGCAATTCAACAATGTTGAGTTGCTGTTCAATTTCGTCTCTTGAACCGCAGCTATCAATATTCCCTTGCCGACCCTTGCTGACGGTTATCTCCTCCAGTTGAATTGAAGGAGCTTCGTGTGGTTCGGGATACGTGTTGTTATGCGGGGGGTGAGGGATGTGTGTTGCCTGACCGCCATTAGCTGTGTGCGCTGCTTTAGAAAGTGACGCCCTGTGGTGGTAGTGGGCGGCGTTGCAGTTGGGGCTTGCGACCCACAGTGGTTCGGATAGCAGATCTAGCTGGACGAAAGTCAAAATTTTTTTGTTTTTAAAATACTTAATGGTACTTGGAATACATTCCTGACAATACATTCAAATATAAATTGCATTTATTAAAGCATTAACATATGAAAACAAACAAAAAAAGGTAAGTCAACGCCGCCTATTTGAGAACTCTATTTTAAAAGCTGAAATTTAACTTAAAAGATTGCTAATTGCACTCACAGATATTTGCATAATTGCAAATCGACTTTATAAACAAAAAATTACACTTATTCCTTATACAGATTCAGAGGTCATAACGCAATTTATGTCCACATTGGTATAAGCAAATTTATTCTGAAAAATCGTCGTTTTGATTAATTAAAAAAATAAATTAAAGAATAGGAAAAGTAAAGGCCGCCGAAGGCCGTTATAAAACCACTTACATATTATTCTTTACACCTTCGCAAATGCAAAGGGTAAGTTCGATAACCACGTCTAACCAATTGGCTTAGATATTTACATTTTAGTGACGGTATGTCAAATCTCAAAATTCAATAGTAATTATTAACAGGAATGTATCTCAATATAAATATAAGATCAGTGGCGGATCCACCGGGGAGAGGGGGGGGGGGGGCTAGGGGTTGTGTGTTAAAACAGAAAAATACTTGGAGTTATAAAAACTTTGGTTATGTAAGAGTTAAAAAAAATATTAACTTGCGAATTTTCTGCTTTCTGAAATTAAAAAATTATACAACAGGCATGCAAATCTTTAAGCGCTGTTATAAAATTTTTTCTGAAATTTATTTGTGTTTCTTGCTGTGATCTTAAATTTTAGTCGTGGTAAATAAAATCTTAAAAAGTGAGTTGTTTGACATTTGGAGAAGTGTTGCTGAAACTTCTAAAAGGCAACAAGGTGTCCGTGATTATGTGATTAGTAAATTGAAAGAAATATCTGATGAAAATGCTCGTTCCGAAGTAAATAAAATAAATTAAGTAAATGACTTTAGATTCGTAATCAGCAACCCAGAAAACCCCCAGATACCCAGTTACATAGAAATCTACCGATTTTTTTTTTAATTTTCGTCCGCCATATTGGATCCGCCATTTTGAATTTTTGGTAAATGACTTTAGATATGTAATCAGCGACCCAGAAAACCCCCAGATACCCAGTTTCATAGAAATCTACCGATTTTTTTTATTTTCGTCCGCCATATTGGATCCGCCATTTTGAATTTTTGATAAGTGACTTCAGATTCGTAATCAGCGACCCAAAAGTCCCCTAGGTAAGAAGTGGTGTAAAAATCCATCAACGAGTATTTGTTTAAGAAGTTTCGTCCAGCTAGATTTGCTATCCGAACCACTGTGCGACCGTGCAGCGCAATACGGGCCCTCGAAATTATTTGGCTAATATGTTGCATTTGACTGATGTCACATTACGGAATATCCTGGTCTGAAACACCGTGCAGATTGTTGGAGGAACCAGGAGTTGTTGGCGGCGGCGTGTGGGCGGTGGTGCATTTGTGTCTGTTGTATGGTATGTAGTGGTTGTGGTGCGGTCTATAGTGTGGTGTGTTAGTCGCGATACGGGGGGTGAGGGAGGAATGGGGTCTACCTTGGGTCTGTAGCATCTGACGCGCTTGCTGTTGCTGCCTGTTGGTAGGTGGCTGCAATGAGGGCGCTGTTGTCTGCGTCAGCGGTGCTCTACAGCATGGGGCACTGTAGTTCGTGCGAAGTGACACCAGCCAAGGCATGAGGTGCATTTGACCGATGTCACGTTCCGGTATATTCTGCTTTAGCATACGGAGCAGGTGGTGTGTGCAACCAGGAGCTGCTGGTTGGCTCGCACGCGCGAGTTAGACGGGCCGGTAGACTGTGGGGGAGGGGCGTTGGGAGGTTTGCTGCTGCCCAGAGGAGCTTCTCGGAGCCGTGCAGGCTCTTCGGGTGTTGGGTGCATTGCGCGAGCGGGTAGCCGTGGAGGCTGATTGTGCCGTTTGGCTTGAGCAGCAGGGAGCCACATAGCTTGTGGTCCCCTCCCGATGAGACCTAAGACCAGAGCAGGTTCTTAGGTGACTCCATCCGTTGCAATAATTGCAACTAACCGGAGTGGAGTTCGGATGGAGTCCCTGGCTCAATTACGGTCTGGATACTGCAGCCGCCTCAACAGATACCTGTCCAGACTTGACCCCAATATCCCCAATGAGTGCCCGGTATGTGGAGAATCCCCCCACGACACCAACCACCTCTTTACATGCCAGCTCAATCCGACTCAGCTAACACCCCTCTCCCTCTGGTCCGAGCCCATCGAAACAGCTCGTTTCCTGGGCCTCCCGTTAGTTGAGCTTGACGAAAATGATTGTACGTAGACCCGAAAAGGCGGGGCTTAGTAGTGCCACTACAACAACAACAGCCCTGAGCAGAAGAATACTTTGCAAATGTAGCCCTATGGACGAACCACGTCTGAGTTATTTCACCGACCTAAACGGGGTTAGATCGATGAAACAACAGTCCTTGGTCGGATAAAACCCGAGTCATTCCGGTACGTACAGCCGGCTGTCGTGGTAATGGTGGCATACATTAAAGATGTAGCGCACGAGTCGATATATTTGGTAAACTAGTATTTATTGTCCGATTTCGTTCATATTTAGAAAGCTTCTTTTAAAAATATTTTTTGAATGTTGGTGAATTTTTGTTAACCCAACAAACATTTAGCTTAGAGAACGATTAGAAAACCACTCGAATTCTAATGTGTTTCTCTAAGGTAGAAGTCGATTAGAGAAACTGTTGAGACTTATAGCATTCTTTAAAAAAAGGGGACATAGTTCTCAATATCGAGAAAGAGGTTAGATATATAGTCCTTTTCAAACGTTGAATTCTAATTGGTTTCTAATGTCTAGTGTTTTTCTAATCATTCTCTAATAGACATAACATAGTTCTCTAACCTGAATAAATCCAGCAATAATGTACAGACGTGTAAGTTTCAATTCTCTATTTAATTGTTCATTGATTTTTATTCTAGATTCGTGATTTGGCTTCCCAATTTTATCTAACCGAGTCGGATGTAGGTCGAAATCGGGCACAAGCTTCATGCAACCAATTAGCTGAGCTTAACAGTTATGTTCGCACTACAGCATACACAGGAGAATTGACTGAAGAATTCATGAAACAGTTTCGTGTTATTGTATTGACAGCATCTGATGACGCCGAACAGCGTCGCATAGCAAAATTTGCTCATGATAATTCCATTGCATTGATCATAGCTGAGACTCATGGACTCTTTGCTAAAATCTTTTGTGACTTTGGAGAAAACTTCACTATTTATGATCAGGATGGTGCTCAGCCGATTTCCACCATGATAGCTAGCATTACACGTGATTCTCAGGGAGTGATAACTTGCTTGGATGAAACCCGTCATGGCTTAAATGATGGAGACTATGTGACTTTCAGCGAAGTACAAGGAATGACTGAGCTAAATGGCTGTGAGCCGATCAAAATAAGCGTATTAGGTCCGTACACATTTAGCATTGGTGACACCAGCCAATTTGGTGAATACATTTCCGGTGGCATAGCTACACAAGTAAAGATGCCGAAAGTTGTGAATTTCAAATCGCTTCAGGAATCTGAAAAAGAACCCGAATTTTTAATTTCTGACTTTGCTAAATTTGACCATCCAATTTCGCTACACATTGCGTTCGCAGCATTACACAAATATGTCGAACAAGTCGGACAGCCACCACGTCCCTGGAATGAGGAAGACGCTCAGATTTTTTTGCAAATGTGCAAGTCAGTAAATGCCGATATCAATGACAATGTGGTGTTGTTGTTTGCGAAGACATGTGCCGGAAACACTTGTCCTATCGATGCGGCAATTGGCGGCTTCGTAGCACAAGAGGTCCTTAAAGCGTGCACGGGCAAGTTCACACCTATCTACCAATGGTTGTACTATGATGCTATTGAGTGTATTCCCACCGAGGGAGTTGAGGAGGCAGATGCTCAACCGGTGGGCTCACGTTATGATGCACAGATTGCTATTTTCGGAAAGAATTTCCAAGAGAAATTGGGCGACGCCAGGTGAGGAAATAGTTTAAACCAGTGTTGACAAAAAGTTAATATGGGTAATGATTAAAAATTATGGTTTAAAAAGCTAATCGCGGTAATGATTAAAATTAATTAATCGTAATCATCAATAATATTAATGACTAAAATTTTTGATGTTGTAGCGGCTAATTTGTGATCTTAATCATCGGTGTTGGGGTTAAGAATTATTTAATTTAATCAATAAATGTTAATCCCAATGAAAAAAATATATGATTGAATAGTCCTGTTTGGTCGAATGTAAAACTAAACACCAGTAACAACTACATTTTTGCATATGATGCCTTTATAAATAATATAATAATATTTTTCACTTCATTACATTTATTAAACAAATTCATTAGCACAATAAGGTCTAAAAGCTCCTTTAAAGTACAAAAGTAATTATAAGGCGCAAAAACAAAGCAACGAAAGAAAAACAATAAATAAAAAATAAATAAAAAATGAGAAATTAAAAATAAAAAAATAAAAGAAAAGTAAAATGCAACTACTCCTAAGACCAAAAACTAACGTTATCTAAATAAAACCACAATGAGACAAACGTAAACATATGTATATTAAAAATTAATTATAATTCATATTAATGCACGAATCGCTTTAGATATAGCTGATTAATTAATCACCGTATCTGCTAATGATTGAAATTTAAACATTAATACAAAATAAATTTTTTAATAATTTTTACTATTACTTATTTAGTCAAAATTAATTTAACCATTATTAAATCTAATCCGATTACACTTAATCAAACTAACTAATTCATTATAAAACCTATATATGTACCATATTTGAACTTTTCTTCTAGATACTTCATTGTCGGAGCTGGAGCCATCGGCTGCGAATTGCTTAAAAATTTCGCAATGATTGGAGTTGGCTCAGGCCAAGGGGAAATCGTTATAACCGACATGGATTTGATCGAAAAGTCGAATTTAAATCGCCAATTCCTGTTTCGACCACATGATGTGCAGAAGCCAAAGGCAAAGACAGCTGCAAATGCCATTAAGAAAATGAATCCTAACATTAAAGTCACTGCGTATGAATTGCGTGTTGGGCCCGAAACCGAAAAAGTTTTCTCAGAGGAGTTCTTTGGCAAATTGGACGGCGTTGCTAACGCTTTAGACAACGTAGATGCTCGCATTTATATGGATCGCAAATGTGTATTCAACCGTTTGCCATTGGTGGAATCGGGCACTTTGGGCACAATGGGAAATGTACAAGTGATTGTACCATTTTTAACTGAATCTTATAGTTCGTCACAAGATCCCCCAGAAAAGAGTATCCCTATATGTACGTTGAAAAATTTCCCGAATGCAATTGAACATACATTGCAATGGGCTCGTGACATGTTTGAAGGTGTATTTACGCAATCGCCAGAGAATGCTGCACAATACCTATCTGATGCAAACTTCATTGAACGCATCATAAAATTGCAGGGTATTCGACCTTTGGAGATCTTGGAATCAGTTAAGGTGATTATAGTGTGAAAAATACAAGAAATACAGACTTAAATATCGCCACCATTTCTGTCACTACTTTTAGAAAGCTTTAGTCGACGAAAGGTCCAACAACTTTCTGGATTGCGTCAAATGGGCACGAAATCATTGGGAAGAGCACTATGCTAATCAAATTAAACAATTGCTGTTCAATTTTCCACCAGATCAAATCACCTCAAGTGGACAACCATTTTGGTCGGGCCCGAAGCGCTGTCCTCAACCCCTGGTATTCGATATTAATGATGATCTACATTTCGATTATATATATGCAGCCGCTAACCTACGTGCGGAGATGTACGGGATCGAACAAGTGCGTGATAGGCAGCAAATAGCACTTCTCGTTAACGATATTACGGTAAGTCGAGTGCAGCCAAATACTATTTATAACTTATTATGGTGAGTAGCTTCATTTCTATTCGATTTTGAAGAATGGTGTAATCTGAAGTAAAGTGAAAATCAAAATTATGCCACATTTTATACAATTATATGAAAAATCTACTCCTTTTTATACCCGAGCACTTTGTTTCGATTCACTTGAAAATTTTAATTATATTTTTTAACACTTAGTATGCTGTGTCCTCAATGTCAATGTATGAAGAAAAACCCTGACTAGATGTTGTAGAGGCATTTTAAATAATTTCAAAGAATCAAATGAATAATCTGACTAGCAAATTAGGAAAACACCCAATTCTAAACACGTTCCATTGGGTTTAAATTTAGTAAATAGGACGACCGCTAAAAAAATTAACGCCAAAACTTAAAAAAATTAAAAATAAAAATCAAACTACTTTCATGCTTTAAAATAACACTGTCTAGGTTATTCAAAACGAACAAACCCAAATAATTATGAAGAACTTTGAGGAAGACAGTACTAGTCCAGATGGTCTTAGGTTTTTTAAAGAGGGTTAAAGTTTTAACAGTTTCGCCGAAATTGCAATAAATTTATCGAAAGTATCATATATAAAGCGATTTCGAACAAAATTTGTGTCAGTCGTAGACTAGCATTCTCCGGGTACGTTACTACCTCGACTGCGTTCTTGCTTTTCTTTTGTGTATACTCGGTCTTTCGTTTTACAATAACCAACCACCGTACACCAACTTTGGGGACAGCATGTTTGCCCCCTTAGCAAGCAACCAGACCAAATCGGAAAAATAAACGTGTGTCAATTTTAATTTAATGATTTTCTCTTCCTTTGAAAATCTCAAAATAAAAGAACCCTTGTCCATTACTCGTGCTCTGCCGTTCAAAGGTCGCTTCAAGTAATCAATAAGGATATTCAAATCAAGTTTGATTTTGTTATTCCGCCCACCAGAAACCATCGACATCTCCTGGCATAAGGTAAACATTAGGGAATACTTGCTTAATTCCCTATTTGCCAAGTTTGCTGTCTACCCCGCATTCGAACACTGACTGTCTGCGGATCAAGTACGCCAACTGCGACGAAAACATACCTTTAACTTCAATAAGTATCCAAAGTTCCGTCAGCAGAAAGAAATGTCAAAAATTTAAACCAAAAACACAAATGTACATTTTAACAACAATAATGAATCCCTTTCTGACTCTAAACACTTCCATAAAACAACCACATCGCCATAAAGTAACCCCCAAATTAATAACAGTTTAGAACTTTCTTGCACTAAACCAACGTCTACTACACATCTTCAGCTCATCCGCTACGAATTTCCCTACCACTTATAATATAAATTCTCCCTAAGATAATCTTATGATCCTTCTCCAAATGTTTCACCCATCACTCACATCACACAAAAACTTATTGAAAAATAACTATTTCGTCACACCCCAATGTATTTAGAATCCGTTCTATGATCGATCTATGATATTTGATATCCCAAAATTCTTCTAATGTTGACACTTCTATTATCCCCATTTTAAAACATAGAAAGATCTCTAACGATCACTTCTAACTTGCTTAGACAGCCTTCAGCCTTAGACAGGTTGCCTTCAAGAAGGGACAAGGAACAACATACACTCTTCTTCACCTCGATCATTTTGTCTCACACGCGCTCAATAGATTTCATGAAAGCATTCGATAGGATTAGAGAATTCAAGTTAAATTGAGACAAATTGATTACGGGGTAGGCCAACAAATGTACAACCTCATTAAATCCTTCCGAGCTCCCGCTCATCCTTACCAGGTTCACGAATATCAAATATACGCCGATGATGTACTATTATATTCAAAAAGCAGTGATCAAATTGCTGTTATGAGATCCTTATCCGACATTCACTCGCTAATATCTGGCACATCAATTGCATCATACCCTTGTTCACTTTCAATAACGTAAATAATACACGGTCCTTACTCTGTAGTTCGAATCGATAGTAAATTTGTTCGAATTCGAACGATTGGTACTATGTTGTTGTAGCAGCATACAAATTCCGCAAAGAGTTTTTGGGGAGTGTTGCTGGAATGACAGTCCTTGGCCAAATATAAATCTGGGTCGTTCCGGTTACGTAGACACGACTGTCGTGGGTACTATAAAAGAGTTAGGCGTTCGAATATAACTTCTTTTCGATTCGAACTTCAGAGTAAGGGCCAAGAAACCCTTAAGGCCGGATCACACGATTGTCGCATTCGCCAATTATTGCCTTAATTTATGTCCCAATCGTCCATACATATCCTGGATTACATTAGTCCACATCTCTGCTTCGAAAATAGGTTTTCTGCCAGAATTCCAGACGGAAGCGACTGGGTAAACCGCTCGGACTTAGATTCAGGATCTACCGCTATCTGAACTGAACTACGCTCAGCGAACTCTGCGCTCGATGCAGGCGTTCCCCTGTCTTCGAGTAAGCACCGACTGAAATCTATGTTCATTAAATTACCCAACGAACGTTGGGCGAAAGAACCAACATGTTCTGTTACAAAACAGATCTGGTCATTTATAAACGGAAAACGATCTAAAACTCTTATACAAATCGACCGCCCATTATTAGATTATTATTAGTTGTCGGTGTAATTACAGGACACTCTAATGGGAGCGCATGCTAGGCGAAGGGGTTATCCCGCTAACGATTTCTGTCGAGCCTGCAGCGACGAGGAGGAGGTGGAGAGTGTAGCACACTATCTCTGCCACTGATAATATCGATGGCTTATTAGGGTGACCCGTTAAATAGAAAAGGGGTACACAAATATTATTTAATTTACACATATTATATTGAATGGATTTAAAAGCTAAAAAAATACAACTTATCATTTATTTTTAAACTAATTGAAGTTTATGCCTATTGAAAAAGGGAGATTACGACTTGAATCTGATGGAAATAGGCTATAAGAAATATTAGAAAATTTAAAATAAAAAAAAGTTTTAGACCACAATTTGCTTTTGCAGGTTAACGTGAATGAAAAAGGAACTTTACTTGCTACTTACCTGACCTCTTAACTGCAGTTATGCTTTTGATGGAAATAGGCTATAAGAAGTATTAGAAAATTTAATGCACTCGCCTCACGACTTGTCCAAACCTTAAATAAGTTTATTAAAATTTTTAA